TTGTAAGCAAAGCAGCTTTTCAACAGTCACTAGCAACTTCTTCAAACGACAGTAGGTTTTGCCACCAACTTCAACATATCAATCTATTTGTCAAATACCTTGCTTTAATAATTGCACATCTGGTTACCTAAAAAGACACACAGTGCTGTTTTTTCCAGACATTTTCAGGAAAAACTCAATTCAGGAAACCCAAGAAAATACACTGCTTCATGAAAAAGAAAGTCAAATCATTTTAAGAGTTAAGTAAATAAACCTGACATTTATTCCATTCCAAGAAATCCCATACCATTGGCTGCATATAAATTTTAAAAATCCTGCTGTTGTACCATAAACTCAAGGACAATGTTACAGATCAGGAATATAAAATAGGCTTTATTAGGAGAAAGTCTCCAAATGGCTTTTGCACTTGTACTAAATCACTAGTCCAAACACTTTAACTCTTAGCAAGCCCTCTTTAGCAGTTTAAAAGCAGTTAAAACTTGCCAGGAGTCAAGGCTTTCAACATTCCTTTCTAAAAGAAAAGAGCAAATCCTATCTGGAAGAGTTGGCAGATTCAACTGAACCTTGTTTCTTAACAGGCACTATCATCAAGTTTACACATCATCAGAACCACAATATTCAAACCTACCTTGTGAAGGTACTTCGCCAAGCTTTCTGCTGGCTTCGTTTTCCACTTCCATGTCACTGGTGGACTCCTCTAAGGCATCTCTGCCTTTCCGATGGGCTGCTGTAGAGGGTTTGGTGCTCTTGCTTGGCATGATCTCTGTTGGCTGTTCCACTCCAAGCAAGCAGACTACTGAAGGGATCTATCTCCTTTGCTAACATAAATAAGAAAACCCCATGATCTAAGCATTGAATGACAATTCCCTAAGGAATATACCTACATGTTTGCCCAGATGTTGGACTAATTTAGGAACTAAAGACTAGATATCTTGAAGACAAAAATCCAAATTTGCAACAACAAAAAAAAAAATAAATGAAGATTTGCTTTATAATGATATACTTTAAGTTACATCACCCCTCCCAAAACAACACACCAACCCTAATCTATAGGAACAGCATCAATCTACCTACTAAAACATCATACAGCCGTGTTCCATGCTCAGAGAAAGCAACCGTGATGCTGGGGGCAAAAGAGTTAAAGACACATTTTCAAAATAAACTGAATAGCCATATACTCATACTCTCCTAGAAGCACTCTTCACACACGCATTTCAGACCTGACACACATTTTACTTTCAACAGTCCATGCTGGCTATGTATTTCTTATATATATCGACAGATAAACAAAAAGACCTGCATAATTATAACAAAGACTTGACCCAAACAGTTTAAATCAACACACTCATTTCACAAAATATAACACAATCACTACTGCTAGCAATTAACATTTAACAGAGAGCAAAACAAAGTACCTTAGTTTAGCTGTGATGTTAAAGTTAACTGATCAAGAACGAAATACTACAAAAGTTCATCAGCTGGCACTTAAGCACAGCTTCCAGAAAGTATAAATAGAAAGCAGCCGATGAGAAGACAGACGACTGTAAGAATGAAACTCTCTCCAAAGAGTTTAAATTGCAGCAAGTGGCGAAGTTAGTTCGCAGAAAAACAGACATGAGAAAGTTTACTTCTCACAAGATAAAAAACTGACGTGGTTAGAAAGTCATCTTACAATTGGTGCCAATCATTTGACGTTTTCAGACCTACCCCCAACCCACACTCTCATGAGAGTCCTTCATTTGGGACAATGGGGGAGGGGGGAATGAGAGAAAGAACTCATTTTAAGGCAATTTGAGTCTATGCCCCTGTTAAGAAGTGTTCCGCAATGGCTGTCTCGGACAATTACAGCCTCTCGAAGTACCAGATTTTTTTTTTTTCAAAACTGCTCCACTCCAACAGAATTGTGCAATATAGACCTATTTACCTTACCAACCCTTCCCCCCCGAGAATACTTCAGCAGAATGAACAAGCATAAGTGTTCGATCTCAGCTTTTAAATCGCAATAAATTAGCTGCCACATACTCTAACCAATTTAACAAATTCGTGCACAGCCCCTCCCCCGAGTCAGCTCAAAGGTGTTTGTTAAGGCATCTCTCGACCATCTCCTGCCAAGTGCCTTTTTTGTTACAGAGATAGTGAAAGAGAGTCAGAGACCGACAGAAAGGCTTCCTTATTAACAGTCGACTAAATTTAATACCGATAACCCATGTCTGCGAAAAGCTTTTGGGTTTTTTTTAGTCCATTCGTTAACTAAAGGAGTCCGACTGCAGGCTAACCGCGGTCTTTTTCAAGTTGCCACGGGCTTTCTTAAAATTTCTCTCTCATATTTCAAGCATAAAAGGAGCAGGCAGACCTATTTATAGAAGGGTCCCTGCTTTGTAAACAGATTAAAATCGGGCCTCACTCCTGCCGAAACGTACTCCTGTACGTCCCCCGTCCGAAATGGGACTCCGATTCACGGTCCCCCGAGGTCCATAAGGCCACAGGGGGAAACCCGGAGATCTCTCCCATGGGCTGCAGAAGACCCTCTCGTCCTCCCTCCTCAAACCCATCTACCGAAACCAGCCAGAACGGATACACCGGGCACCGCGCCCCGCCAACCCGGGGACCGACCGGCCACCGGGCAGCCCAAGCCCCTCGAGAGGGGAGCAACCCCCGCCCCACTGCCCGGGCCCGGAGAGAAGAGGTGCCGCCACTTTTCGCTCCCTCAGAGCGAGGAGAAAAGATGAAAAAATAAGACTCTGGGCAGACCCAGCCGCCCCCCTGCTCTCCCCCACAGCACCCCCTGCCCAGGGAAGCGCCCTGAGGACGTCTCCGCCGGCCTGCTTACAGCGGATGAAGCCCCCAACTCCACCTGCCCTCATGCGAACTGCCGACGCTCCTGCCCGAAGCCCTACGCGCAGAATATATCCCGCAGAGCTGATACCTTCGAGGGCTGGCGCCTCCCAGCCCCAGCGAGGCTGCAGGCTGTGGCAGCGCAGACGGCTCCAGCTCCTGCCACCGCTCGGCGACTTCCACACTCGAAAATGGCGCCCAAACGGCGAACTCGAACCGAAATTCGTTAGAAAAGCGCGGGGCATGCTGGGAAGGGAGGGGGCCGGCCTCCCGCGGGTTTGAAAGGAGGAAAAAAAGCCCCGCTCTCCCGCCATCTTGTTTTCCGTTACGGCGCGGATGGGCTGGGCGGGATGAGAAAGTAAAATAAACCCCCTTCGCTGCAGGGAGCGGCTCGTTTCTTGCGGGGAACAGCGCAGGGAGACTCACGGCCGAAGGTGACAACGGCCCTACGCACCCCACGTGGAAAGGGTTTAATTTTAGAAGTAGGTCAGTGGGCGGTGCCTGGTTGCTCGGCAACGGGCGGTGAGGTGGTGGGGCAGCGCGGCGGCGTGGCGGTGCTGTTACTGAGATAAATAAGTTTTAAAAAGTTAACTAATAATAAAGAAATAGTTGAAAATTATGGGGACGCGGCGGGTTCAAAGCTTTATGAATTAACGGGCGCGCTGACAACACCCAGCCCTGTCACCTGGTCGGGAAGGGCCCGTGAGGTGGCGGTGGGAAGCGGTGGAAGAGAAGTCTCGCGGGAAGTAGCCATAGAGACGGAGCCGCTTGGCTGCGGGGGGAGCGGGTAGCCGCCGCCTTGGACTGGGCGCTCCTGTGGCGTCGCGGGACGGAGAGGAAGGCGGGATTAGCGCGAAAGCCGCTGGGGCTTGGGAGCCGGCTGCTGCCTCAGCGGTCCTCGCCGCTCTGTGCTCTCCCTCTCGCTGCCGGCGCAGGTAAAGACGGGTTGGGGGAGCGGCGGTGGGCTCCCTCCCACTGCCGTAGGGGGAGGCTAGCGGGCGGCAGGTCTGACTCACTGCCGCAGTGGGCGAGAGGGTCCGGAGCCGTGACCCTCTGCTCGGCGTGGGAAGAGGGCTGGGCTGGGTAGAGAGGAGAGGTTGCTCTGGCTGGCGAGGTAGGGGCGGGGGAGTCCCGACCCCTGACTCCGGGCGGCCCTGAGGGAACGGACACTGGTTCTCCCATGAAGAAAGCGCGGGGTTGGCAGATTAGCCGTTTGAGAAGATGGAAACTTTGAGGGAGAAGGGGATGCCGGCACAGCCGGAGAGCAGGCTTTGCCGTCTGTGTGGTGTCAAGGGGCTGTGCCTTGTGTGGGGATGCGGATGAGGCTGGAAGACCTGCGGTTCCCTGACAGCCGCCCCCTGGGTAGCAAGCTCTTGCTCCGCCAACCGCCCGCCATCTCTGCGTTCTGCCGTCTGCCTTTCCCTCCGCTCCCCCTGCTCTTGCTCAACCTCCTGCCGCCGTCCCTGATCCTCATCTCCTCCTTCGGCCGCTCCGGAGGGGAAACAGCTGAGAGGAAGAGGCAGCGTGGGGCTGCAGTCTGCGACCGGGGGACCGCCTGACTGTGAGGTCGGGAGAAGCCGAGCCAAGCTCACCGTGTCAGAGTAATTCCTCGTTATGGCTCCATCTGTTTTAAAACTGCCAGTGAATGCCTTCAGCCAACCTGCTGGTGGACTTCTGGCGGAGTCATCTGTAGTACGTTCTAAGAGGAGTTATGATGGATGTAGCTGTGATGACAGCGGGTGAGCTGGTGCGCCGTAAGGGTGACCATTCGGCCCTTCAGGTTAACAGTGTTGAAGCCGTTTTCAAAAGTTATAATAAAGTTTTGCTCTTGGCTTTGAAAGGAAAATAATAGGTTTTCCCTTGCTACTTACCTTCACGGCTGTATATCGGCACAAGAGAACTTCAGTGTTTCCATCAGTAACGTTTCAGCAATAAGTTCCTAGCATCACTTGGACTTTATCTAATGTGAGACTAAGTAATCAGATAAATATACAGTTAGGTATTGTACAAACAGAATTCCCTTTAAACTCAGGCCTGGTTTGATGGCTTATTTTTCCACAGTACTAATGTAGTAATACTTACTGTTGGTGTATTTTCCTTTTTATTTTTGGCTACAGATATATATATATGTTTGCTTTATTTTATTGAAGTTCTATTTACATCTCTTTTTTAGCACTCTACAACTGAAATGCGACTGAAGATTTCACTTTTAAAGGAACCAAAACATATCCTTTGTCTCAGAACAAACCATAGAACAGCATGTTAATTCTGAATAGACTTTTCCAGAAAGGATTTCTTTATCATAGCTGTAATAGTACAATATTTGTAAAGTGCCAGTGGCTTCATAGTTTGTTCTTTTCTTCACCTTGCCATTCAGTGCAGCCTTTAAAGGCAACATTTAAAGAGCTGTTGAACACTCTTAAAGTAATACCTTCCCTTTAGAAACTATCAGTGTTTTGCTAGAAATTTTCAATATTTTCTTTCCCTTCTTTTTTTGTAGTGATAACATATTTCCCAGACAGGAATAGTGATATATCTGCTTCCTTGTAATAGGCATCCATGTGGCAGATGTAAACAAAATTATAATTTGCCTACTAATAAATCAGATGTGTCAACTATATATGATGTGATGTTAACAAACTGACACATTTGAATTATAGTTGGGTGTTTTGCACATTCATGGTGCACTAAGACCATTCTAGAGTTATAACCCAACATTTCAGCTGTGTTTCAGTAAGTATGCATCATAATAAGAATTATATTTTACATTATAGTTAGCTTCATTTTTGCTGAGTGTCTACCAGCTCTTTTCTTGACACCAAAGAACAAAGAAAGAATGAAGAATCATATTTTAGATATCAAACATTCCATGTAATCTTATCAAAATAACTTTCCAGTACCGTTCTGTCAGTTTTGTATAGCCTACATGAGATATTTTATAAGTTTATTTTTAATAATAAAAATATTCAGATTTCCTTAATTAAATTAAACATAAAGAATTAGTGAGCTGTGTGGGATGGACTACAGCTGACGAGCTATATTCCTGCAGTGATGATCACCAAATAATGAAATGGAACCTTTTAACCAGTGAGACTACTCGGTTAGTGAAACTTCCGGATGACATTTATCCCATAGATCTTCACTGGTTTCCCAGAAACATAGGTGGGAAGAAGCAGTCCCATGCTGAGAGCTTTGTTCTAACAAGCTCTGATGGTAAGTCAATTTAAAATATTTATAATTTCATGCCACTTTGTTCTTATGTCACTCAAATACATGAAAAGTTATTTGCAGCTAAATAATTTGGAATAAAGCAACTTCAGATACCTATGCACTAGTGGTACTGGTGTAAAATTACTAACTGCTTTGATTTTAATGCATTTTATTGCTGTAATTTTCTCCAATACAGCCTTACCAAACATACTTCTGTCAGCAGATAAGTCACTTTTAATGTAACATCAATTTCTATCATCTTTTTTTTTCAATTTCACAAACCAGTAGCTTTAAATATGTCTGTACTGCATGTCTACATAGATACCAGAGCATAGTTAGGAAGACTTATGACCAAGTGACTTAACTGTCTTAACTATGATGTTTAATATCAATGTAGGCAATTTCTTGGACATATTTCAAGAGCAAGAGTCTTGAATATCCTTCCAAAGCATCTAGTTATGGCTATTGTCAGTAATACAGTAAGACCAGTACATTTGCCCACTGTACTGGCAGATGTGTGCATGTATATATATATGTGTGTGTGTGTGTGTAGATTTAGTATGCTGCTATTTGTTCAATATACTAGTGTACTAATACTGAGCTATGTGATCCAGTATAGTAGCTGCTGTATTCCAGTGTATCGATATGGTTTTGTGGAAGGGGTTGGGACAAGAAGGTTTAATGATCGTTTGGGTTTTTTTCTTCCTCCCCAAAGAGACTAGGAATTGATTTTACCCAAATTGCACATTGTTAAATTTTTATTCCTGCATGGAAGCAGATATATTCCTGACCCCAGTTAAGTGAACAAATCTTAATAACTGGTTTTATTACTGATTTATATTAATTATGAAGCAGTCCAATTCCACACTGTTACGGTCAGAGTTCATCTCCTTAGGACTGTAATGGTGATTATGTTCCATGCCATCAGAAATTTTCTGTGCATGTTTTCCCTTTTGTTTTGGGTTCCCCCCCCCCCCCCATTTCCTTAACAAAAAAAAAATATGAAAAGTAATGTTAAAAATAAATTTTCTTAATGCCCCCCCCCCTTTTTATTCCTGTTACAAAGAATTTACCATGTGGAAACACTGTAGTTCAGATGAACCTTTCTTCCTGAACCTACCAAATCTATCAATTTGATCCTTTATGAAATCTGCTGGTTTACATTGACCTTGTTATAAAAATTGCATTGGGTTAAAAGCTCTGCTAAGGAACAAGTCCCTGATGTAGCCTCAGAGTGCCTGATTGACAGTCCACTTGCAAGAGCTTGCTGATGGGCTTAGTGTGTTAGTTTGTGAATGCCTGTTGATACTTTTAATGCGTAACATCCAAGATCTTGGGGTACAGGGGACTTGGAAGAGCAGCGTGACTTCCTTGCAGAAATTGGACAGTCTTTACACTGATCCTAATTTTTTATACCTTTGGTTTATTGGGTTGATAATGCTGTTGGAGGTTTCAGAGTAAGTCAGTTAAATTGTCTGGAGCTAATTATGTGCTACAAAACATAAAACATACTAAACATAGTTTATACTCTTTTTGTCACGGATCAAAGATCTCGGTGTTTGAGTGATGCTTCTATAGAAATGGTAGTGGTAGGAGTTTCGGTGAACTTAAAGCAATATGTTGCTCTAGATCTCTGCCAGCTTTTTCAGGCTGACCAGGTCATGGTCAATTGTTGTAGAGTGTTTCCATCAGGATAATAATGGCCATCTGCCTGTGACTGGTTGATAGCTTTCACAGGGACCTGTTGATAGTTTTAATGGGATTAGTGGAGAATTTCCAGCTTTTGCCCATGTTTTGGCCAGAATCTTGAATTTGTGGGTCTAGTATGTTTTGTGGTGTTTGTTTTTTTTTTTTTTTTTGTTGAGGGGAACTAAATGGAAGCTCTTGGCTAGCTACAGCGTGAGCTTGATGGGGAACAGAAGGTTTGTTACTGAGCAGTAGCAGTCTCTAGCTGATGCGTCCGGCATGGTTTTCCATATGGATGGAGAGAGTTATTTCAGTATATTGAAAGATACATTTCAACTTTTAACAGAGAGTTATATTTAAATATGTATGTCTATATCGAAAAAGGTAAAAAAAAATCATTCCTTGCAGGAAATTTTTGCGATTTCTCTAACTTTTGGCAATACTTGCACTTAAAAATTAGGAGAGTTCAGTTCACTGAGTGGAGGCCAAGAATTCTTCAAGGTATTTATTACTTTCCAAGGAATAAATGAATTGAACTTGCAAAACAAAAGCAGGAGATCTTTTGGTCAGTGTCTGAAGGTTTGCTCCCTGTTGTTTTTTAGGTACACATGGGGAGGGAACCAAGTAATTTTTGCAATACTTGGTGCTGAACTTTACTATGCATTTTAGGTATCTGGGTGTAATGAAGTATTGCTTTTTAGAGCTTTTAAGGTGGAAGTGGAAGCTTTTAGGAAAGCTGAAAGGATGATTCATTTGCATCAGTTAATATTTGCATGCATTATAGTATTATGCTGTGGGATGGGGGCAGAGTTTGTCTAAAAAAAGATATTCCTCATAAAGTCAGTCAAGGATCAGTATTAACTGAGCTGATTTCTACAGAATTTGCATACTTTTCCCTTCAATGATAAACATGAGGCAGAAGGATTTCAGTAGGTCAACCAGTGCTCTTAATTCCTTGGTTTTTTTTCCCTCCTTTTTCAGTTTTCACATTTATATTTCTAATATCCTGGTGCTGTAAAGTTCTAAATTGTATGTGCAAATAGCGAGCAAAAGAGCAACTGCAGTGAGTCAGGGCTTCTGTTAATTTATTCTGTCAGTTTTCCAGTGTTATCAAAATAGTATGCTAACATTTAATGTTCTGCTTGAATAACGCTTTGACAGTTGAGTCAGGAAAAACGTTAAGGGCTACTACTACATTAATGAAGAAAAACTTTTAAAATTCTGCTGGGTGACCTTTTTTAATATCACTAAGATATGTAAGGAAAATAAATCATATTCACAAATGTATTTAGAGAGGTTGAAAGTTGATTTTCTTTCAGATGCATTCAAAAATTAGCACACTGCAGGAGCTGCATATTTGGAAGCACTTTAGTCTAGATGTGAACCCAATGCAAATTTAGGTAAGATACCAGTTCCTAAGTGTAATGTCAGGTATGAATGCTTACTGGTAAACGGATTAAGTGAAACTGCAACAGAGAGCTACGGTTTAGGAATAAAGATTCATGAACAGATAGGCCCGGAATCTTTTCCAGGATGTATTAGGAACTTTGCAGTTAAGTAGTAGAAGTTGTATTACTTTAAGTGCTGTAAGTCTATGGCAGAGTTTGAAAGTTCTTGGAGCTTAGCTTGATTTTGAGGGTTGTTGGTTTTTTTTTGCCATTCAAGGTTTCAGTTTTACATGACCAATAAATTCTAAACTAGTGCCTTAGTGCTGACCTGAGTTTTCCTTGGTAAGACTTTTGCATTCATTTGCTTATAACTTCTAACAAACTTTTTTTGTCTAACCTAAACTTATCATCCTAGGATTCTAGCTAATGCTGAAGTACTTCATAAAGATTTTAGCTACAAGACATAGTGACAGAAAGGTCAGGAAAAATGCTGTCTCCTCATAAAAGTAAAAAAAAAAACCCATAAATACAGAATGAGAAAAAAATTCTGTGAAACTTGTAAGTGACCATGTAGTTACTTCTCTGTTAGAACTGATCTGCACTTGAGAGTCTGTCAATTCTATCATTGTCCAGCTTTTGTAGATCAGCTTAATTCAGCTTGATTAATTCCACTTTCTTTTAGTGCAACTGTTTTCTTGGATGGATGCAGCATAAACTGTTTTGGCTAACTTTGCCAGATTTATTGCAGTGGCTGTTTTGAGGTTTTGGGGGTGGGTTCTTTTTGTTGTTTTTTTTTCTTTTTGGTTGGTTGGTTTTGTTGTTTTTGGGGGTTTTTGTTTGTTTGTTTTGGAGTTTTGTTTGTTTTCTTTCTCTTTTTACAAATGTAGGCCCTTCAAGTTGTCATGTTCCCATCACATCCGTAAGGCTTATCATCTGAATGGTGGTGTAGGTGGGATAGGTATTGTCTGATAAAAGTCTGCAATCCACTAGTATCCCCTTTCTCAAGGTGACACATTCTTTAGTTCTTCAAGCCAGTCTGATGATCAGTGGTTAGATAATTTTGTATCAGTTAAGTGAGCTGAATTTGTATTCAGCCCTTGCATTACTTCTGGACGTCTGGGGCCTTTACTGCTATTCCTGTCCTTAATTTGGATACTGCTGTTTTGCTAGCATTAGTCTGAAGCAGAAGTGAGTTTTGCTGGATGAATTACTATTAAACCCAAAGACTTTATGGTTGTTACAGAGCAGTAGGTGCTCAGTGGTACAAAGATAACATGGGATATTGCAGAAGAAAGATGGGATGTCATTTCTGGTTAAGTGAACAGACTAAATCCACATTTGTTTATATGTTATTAGAGTGTAAATGTAAACAAAGATGGATGAAGAAACTTTTTTCCTTAAAGTTCTGTTCCCTAAGAAAATGAGGCTTGCATGACGGGTGTCATAGGGGCACTGGATGGCAGGTAATCAGTAACTTCGATGCTTCTTGGTGGGTTTTGTGGAATGAGGCAGTGATGTGATGGAAAAATGCCTACTTGAGGGGGCAGCTGTGGCAGGGGCTGCATGCAGACAAAGATTTCATGCAGGGAGGGGTTGTTATGCTTGCCCTCACTGAAGGGAAACATTCAGTGTGGTGACTTCATAGGTAGTAGGGAGGCCAGCAGCAAAAGTTGATTTGGTTTGCATTTACTGATGGATGAGTTATTTTTTGCCTTAATTAGTTCACAGATCACAAAACCCAAGTCATGTCTTGCACAAGCTAGTATCTTCTCTCTTGGAGTGATTTTTTATGTAGTTAGCTGTTGTTAGAACTAAGGGATAAGCTCTTTGAATTGATGGGTAAATTCATCCTGCATATTCGATTTCTGGAAAACTGTTTTGAGATGTATTTGCAAAAAAAATAAAATTGTTGGGGTTATTTGGTTGGGTTTTTTTTTTCCTGGGGTTTTGCCTTTTTTTTTTTTTTTTTTTTTTTTTAGTGAAATCAAAATACTGACCAGTGCTAACCTAGTTTATCAAAGCATAAATTGAGATAAAAATGTAATGTAGAAAATTCCCAAATTCTTATCTCCTAGTATAACTTAGCACTTTCAGTAAAGGGAATTTATCTTATACAGATTTTTGGTTGGGTTTTTGGTTGGTTTATTTTTTTTTTGCATATGCAAGTGAATTATTGCATTGTAAAACTGCATGAACAAGTTTTGTTACTTAATTGCTATTTTTTAAAAACCTTACTTTTAAATTTATGTTTAACTATCACTTACATAATATGCCTTATGTGTCAAGCCTGCAGTTTTCCTGCAACAGCTAATTCATCTCGGTGATAAGGATTTCTGGAAACTTGCTGAATCCAATGGAAAAGGAGTATAATGTCTTTACAGGGTTGCATTAATTCCTGGTTGAACTCCAGATGTTTGTGAAATTAGAGCAAATGTAAATTTAGTCCTCTGGGGTTTTCTTTTGAATTTCATTTCTTGTGGGATATTGTTCTTTTGCTTCCTACTTACATTGATCCTGTTACTGCTTCTTTACAAAAATAAAGAATATGGTCAGCTTCCAACTCTACATTAAGCACAAATTGAAAGTGAATAGACCTATCTTTTCAACATTTTGTTATTGATAATTTTACATTAGGTCAACGATAAGAGCCTATGAAAAGTAATGAACAAAACATACATGTTTTATATTTTGTATTTGAATAGTCTGCTAATCTCCCACTTGAAATTCCTCCAAAACTGGAGAGTCACTTTGAGATTAAGGATAGCTTCTGGCTTCAGTATTTAATAAGAAAAAAAACCCAAAAACACCCCCCCCCCAACCAAATCTGAGATGTAAAGAAAGATTAAGTCGAATCATTTCTGTTTGCTCCAGGCATACAGCTAAAATTTTCCCTTTCTTTAATTGTTTATAAGGCAGTAAGTTCTAATTTGAATGCCTGTACTCTCATTCTGCCTCAATGCTAAATTGAAGGCAGAGAAATCCACTGAGAAGCTGCTTTTGGAGCAACCTCTATGTGTGAATGTAATGAAAAAAGCAGTATCTAACAAGTCACATAATTTGGCTGTCATCAGCTGTAAATGCATATGTTGGAAAAGCAAAGATGATATCCATGAAAACTTGATTTGGCCCTGTGCTGCCTAAGTATTATGATACGGTTTTTCAAATGCATGATCACATTTTTTCCGGACGAATTCTATGTCAGTGCCTTAGGTGGACCTGCGTTTATGTGAAACTCTATTCTTTCCTGCTAGGCTACACTTCACTATTTGAAAGATGCCTTGTGAAAGAAGTAAAGAGTTTGTGGAGTGATAAAGAATGCAAAAGATTGGTAAATGATTTCAATGTTTCCCTGTATAACAGGAGTTGATATCCTGTACTCTGTGACATGGCCCATTGTTTTCCTGATAATGTGACCTAACTGAAGTATTCAGTTGCTTGCCAACTGTCCTTTCATTTTATTTTATTTTTTCTCTTAAATGTTGAGGGGGTTGCTTACAGAAGTATTTGAGGTCTCACGGATTACTCCTAGGTCAGTGAAAGCTATTGTATATTGGCTATATAAAATGCCATAGAATTCTTTGTATCCTTAAAATAGTAATTCTGAATGTTTCAGATTGGATACTGAAAGGTGATGTACACATTTGAGTTATATTCTGTGTATGTAAGCTCCCGATTTGCGAAGCTCTTTTTTTTTTTTTTCCAAGGGAAATTAGTGAACTGTTCATAATGGCTATGAAGAGCTCAGCCACATAATGATGAATACTGCAAGTGGTGGCATGACAATATTCATAGTCCTATGATCAGATTAGGTGTAAGTATTCCACAATGAAAAATGTCTTGGCTATAGATTGAATACATACACTATTTATCGAGAAGACAAGTGATCAGAAAATAAACCATGTTTTTCAATGTATTATTTTAAAAGCAGAAAAGGATGTTTTGACGATTTAATTAGAGAAAAGAGCATTTAGTGTGAATCCAATTACTGCTTATGCATAAAAAATAAGCGTCTCAGATCTGAGAGACGTTCTATAACATTACTGATGTATTAATTATATAAAACATATTTTATGATTATAACACAATGCATTACGTGACAAATAGCGGTACTGAAATTTTAGGAAAATAAAATTTAACTGAATGAGCAAGAACTGACCTTAGTTCTTAGTTAGTTCTGTGAATTTATTAAAAACGGGATTAAAGAGCAGTTCAGAGTACTCTGTTACGTATGAACGTAAGTGATAAAAGCAAAAATCTGTACTTGTGGATGATATTTAAATAGTCTGTTAAAATTAAACAAATTAACATTTAAATATGAAAAATTTGCACAGACTATTCGTTTTCTTCACTGTTAAAAATCTTTTGCTTAGAAATCTCGTGTTGGCCAAGGTCTGTGGATGATTGTGCCTTTTTGTTTATGTACTTACAAGTAAAATGATGACAAAGTGTGATTGCATTAATTTGAATAATAGTATGGAAAGCCCTGGTAGGTGTTTTATGGTTATTTTAAAGAATTATTTTTCTTTGGCTTTAGTCTGCCTTTGTTTTTATGTTTTTTTCGTGTTATTGGGGTTGGTCTGTTGTTTGGTTTTGGTTTGTTTTTAAATTGAAATGCAAAATAAAACATGACAAACCAGAACACAATAAAAGTTGTTTCAAGCTTCTGGCAGAGCAGGCAACCTAATTTTGCCATCTTGGCTACTGCGTTTTGAATGTGCCTTTAGTGTGGTGATGTCGTGGTTTTACCATCTATGCAGTTCAGTTAACTCTGTTACTACCTCTATACATACTGGTCTTGGTAATGTCATGCTTTACTGAAATAGTCAGGTATTTAGTTTCCAGTTCTGGCTCATCAAGTATGGCCTGTTTTATAATTCATATTCACAAGCATGATGTTATTAGTGGAAAAATTACCCCATCTTAAGTGATGGGGCATTTGCACGCAGTGTAAGATAGCTGTGTACTCTTTAGCTCAGAGTTCTGGTCAGGCTGGAAATTGCTTGTAGTGGCTCACTGCCTGGCAGATTAGATAATTCTAAATTAATTTTGGGTTTAAAATAGTTAATTTGAATCATGAAACTGTTCTAAGCCATGCTTTTGTTCTGCCACATGTTTCCAAGTCCTCTGTTGTCTGCTCTTTGGTCCAGTTTAAATTTGATCTTCCTGGATTTAAAAGCAACATCCCTCACTGGGAAAGAAAGACTTCCTCATGCTTCTGTTGAAATCATTAATAGCTTTGTTTTTGGCTTCTGTGAATTTCCATAACAGCTCCGTAATGCAAGCAGTAATACTCCTCAGAGCAATGCACTCATTGATGGTCAGGTTGTTCTAGCTTTCCGTTAACCTTTTGGTGGTGAGTAATTTTTCAGATCTTAAAAAAAAAGAAAAAACAAAAAGAAAAAAGGGAGGGGGGGACCAAAAAACAAACAAAAAACCCCACCCACCACCACCCAAAAAAAAACCCACCAAAAAGCCTCACCAAAAACCACACAAGGACTCTCTTTGGCTGCAGTGTATACACCTCTGTTTGTTAGCTTTCAGTGAAATAACACCAGGCAGTTATGTCCCCAGAGACAAATGCAGACTTTAGAAAGACAGAAGAATAGGCAAAACAAAGATGATGCATAAAGAAGAAAACAAAAACCAAACAAAATCAACAAAAAAATCACAATAAAAAACCCCACCAAAATATCCCCGTACAAGGTTGTAGCTACTTTAAAAGTAGTTCTTCTGCAAGAGCTCATTTGTTTGGGCTAATCGTAGCTGTGAACAATATAAATGCTTCTTTTGTTTGTTTTTGTTTTGTTTTGATTTTGTTGTTAGTTTCTTGTCTTGTTTTATGTGTGTATTTTTAACAGAAGATTAACACCATTACAGCCATAGAGTCACAGAATTAGATAATACTATTTCTATCTTGAACTTTTGTTTAGGGAAGTTCCACCTGATTTCCAAGTTAGGAAGAATAGAGAAGAGCGTAGACGCACACTGTGGAGCTGTACTTGCAGGAAGATGGAATTACGAAGGAACAGCACTGGTTACAGGTAAGCATTCTCAAAGTGCTGAAGTGTTTTGAAAACTAAAATCACAGAAGAGCTCTTTCAAAAGAAAGCCTTTTGTTTGTTTGCTGTTTTTTTATAGATACATAAAATTGACATGCTGTGAAGAAATACAAGGGCACAAAAGTACAACATTAAACAAAAATTATGAAAATGCTGTATATCAACTGTAGAATATAAGTACTTTATTCTATGGGATAAAGAAAATAGAATGATTTGGAAAAATAATTTAACCCTTTACACATATTTAGAAGATGCAGTCCTAAATTTCATGGTTTATGTTGTATTTATATTCAATTTGAATGAATAAAACAGTCTAGCTTGAAATTCTTTTAAGGAGGGGGAAATGGAAACACAAAATCAACAATATAAATGAAGTTAGCTATAGTAAGTTACTATGTCTTCATGACCACTGGGATTATTGTCACCATGTTTAATAGAAGTTAATTTTGCTCTAACTGATTAATTCTGGTTTAGAGTAATACTTTAATTAACAGAATTAATATTTTCATGAAAAGATCTAGTAAAAAGCATTCATCTTATTTAGTGCTTCTACTTATTAGATGTTATCCTATTTACTTGAAAGTAAATGTTTGATATATTGGGGTGCTTAGAAGTTTCGTGGACATTCTGTACTTCATAAAGGCAAATATTTGATTATTTTTTTCTATCTGTTATAAAAATTACATTGATATCCCTGCATATGACGCCTGGGTATTTTTAAGCTAGTAAAGTTTACCAAGGCCTCCTGAGCATCTTGAAGGTTCCTGTGTTTCTCTTTCTTAATCATTAGGAGTGATGTAGATCCAGCTGCAGTCTTAACTCTTTTCTCGTATCAAGGCTGGGAGAGTGATCTCCCAGCGTCTGCATCTCTACACATCTTTCTGTCCCGGTCTTTTGGTATTCAGCTGCCTTCTGCATTTCTGTCAAAAACTTCTATCTTAAAGTTAAGGGGCAGCTAATTGAATTTCCTATGATAGACATCTCCTTTATGGGATTTCTGTTGGTGTCAGAATTCCCTGCAGCCTCCTGTTGATCTAGCACAGCTGATTTCTTTGGACAAATTCCAAGTCAGTCCAGAAGTACTGAAGATAATTTTGTGTCTGCTTGTTTCCAGACTCAGTCTGACTCTAAAATGCTGCTTCAAGGGACTCTGGCATGTCCCTCTGAAATCCCAGAGGGATAGAAATATTGTTCTTTCTAAAGACAGATTATTTATTTATTTATTTATTTATTTATTTATTTTAAGGCTGCATGACACTTATGGGGAATATGGGAATTCATCACCATATCCAAACAGTTTACTCTGAGAAGATCAACTACTCTCATACTGCTACTATAGTTTGAGGAGGAGTGAATCATTGATGATACCATATCAGCTAAACTATTCTTTATGGCTGTATTTTAACAGTATCAAATATGCACAAATAACGTTTTTTTTTGTTGTTGTTGTGTGGGTTTTGTGTTTGATTTGGGTTTTTTTGTTGTTGTTTTTTTTGTTTTAATTTTTCAACTCTTTTTAAACATTTAAAAGCTACATCAGTCAGATATAAAAACCTGAAACTTGGTAAGTAAATTACCCTTGAATGGAGGAATGACATTAAGCGCCTAGGTGTGTGCTTTGTCTCATTATTTGAATCTGGGAGGCCTAAATGAAGACCCAGAGCCGTATGTTTCAAATATGATAGCACACTAGGAAATCTGTGTTCTCAATGGATAAATAACTAAGCTACATAGTGTGTATAAACTTAATCTCTAATAAGTAAACTGAGCTTCTTGGAAACATGCAATTATGTTATAAAATTTAAGCTTTCCAAATGGAGCCTTCAGTTATCTTCAGTTTCACCATTCATCAACTGTGAAGCCTCCAGCTTAATACATAAAATCTGTTCTTACACTCTTCTGTCTCCTCAGAGACTCATTTAATCAGCCTCACGGCCATTGAACTGTAAATACATGAAAAGTACTAGCAATGCTGAATAGAAAATACAGAACTTGAGATACTTGGAGTGAGGCCCTTTCTCTTCTCAGGAACAGCTTCAGATAAGAAGACTATAGGGATTTTCAGGAGGGGAAGAGACTTGTTGATAATAGCAGAAGAACAGTCTGAAATATTTTGTCCTTAATATACTGTGTAGTTGCATGTTGGGAAGTCTACATAAACAATATTGACCCATAAGATCTGGACTTCTTTAAACAAGTGTTTCTTAGGTAAATGCAAGCACTATGTTTGTTAGACTTACTATTGCATTTAAGCTGATAGTTTCTGTGATAACTTTACAGTTGGTGAAGATGGCCAAGTGAAAATCTGGTCTAAAAGTGGAATGCTGAGGTCCACTTTAGCTCAGCAAGGTAAGTTAATGTTTTTTAAAGTGCCATCAGAAGTTTTTAATTTAGGGCATTATGAAATATAATTAAATCACAGACCCTAAATCTGGCAGTAATGGTTTGTTTAAGGATCTTAAGGCCTAGATATGCTTGACTAAAATTAAATGTAAATCATAGTTAAATAAAGGGGGAACAGGGTTTGTAATGAGATGCCTCTCAAGAAAAAAACAACCACTAAATAAAATCTTCAATTAAAAGTATTATTACAGCATTTTTAGACAGTAGTTTCAGTTCTGCCCTAAGGATTCTGGATAGACAAAAGAATTAAAAGTAAAAAAATTAGTTCTTAATACCAAGCTACAGACTCTTGTGATGAAACTGAAAAAAAGAAAAGTTATGCCTGAAAAAGCATTGTAAGAATGCTTGAAAGATGCAAAGTGCATATAGGCTAGCTCCTCTGAACTTCAAAACTCTTAACAGCCCTTGCTTCATCTTCCTAGTTAACCCAGTAACTGTAATTTAGTATGTGTAGGTAGACCTACTGAAGTGAAGATTCCTGTGCTCAGGTTCTTTGTTCTGAGGCCATGGAGCCCTTACCTCGATCTTGGCTTTTTAACTACAGTTTTACGTATACTAGAGAATTTCAGTTATGTAAGTAAATTTAAAATCACTTTATTGTGAAGAACAACAGTATAAGCTGCACACATGTATTTATAGAAGTAACATTTGTTACTTTTAACATGCTATTTTTTATAATCATAATTTCTATCATTCTTGTGCTATTTCAGTAAGATACTCAGCTAGATTTTGTTTTTCATACTTCATACATTGAGATCATGTGGCCTTTTGACATTTTTTAAGAAACCACATGCACCTGGGTTGGGTTAAATGTCAGACCCTTATCTGTTTCTAAAACAAATTATCTAAATTCTTTCAACCTGTTGAAGGCATTTTAACCACAGGAGTGAATGTAAAATGTATTTCAATTCTGTTGAGGAAGTTCATATTCAGTTGTGATGTTTTTTTAATGCTTACAATGTAAAAAGATAAGCCGACTGAACTGTAATTTTTGACAAAGAAAAAAGTTGAAGCACACACTCTTCCTTCACTATTTCTCAGTTGGTATGTTTCAAGAGGGGGGGTTTATGTCTGATTGCTTATTTGAGGTTTGATGACGCTTGTAAAGTAAGACAAGTCTTCTAGTTTGAAATATGCGAGCTGAATTTTCACTGATTTCTTAGTTTCTGCTACATTGTAAAAGTACAGCTGGGTCCCCATGGAAAAATTGTTTTCTCATATTTGTCTTTTAAGCTAAGATCCTGTGAGACCCAGAAACCCTTTAAACATTAAATTTATAGGATTGCATTCCCACAGACATCTCTGTGGGATCTACTGACATGCCTGGGATCAAGATAGGATTCTGCAGTCATTGTTATGTTGTTTAAGAGAGGTATATTGTGTTTGAGCTAATTTTTCACTTCCTTCATCATCTCCTTAGGAAACAAGAGGATTACTGTTGCTAACATTCTTTCTACTCATTCCACTCTGTATTAGAAATAAATTTTCAGGCTCTTATCTTCAGATGATGGTCCACATGCCTTTTCTGTCTTTGGATTTTTATTCACTACAAAACCATGAACGTATATTTTTCCCTTTTTTAGCCTTTGCAGTAATTATATGGAGCACTCTGGCCACATGTCCTTCCATCCTGCCAATGGAACAGAATAGTTAGTGTGACTCCGTAGCTTCTACTGCTTTCAGCCTCAAGCTGTACCATATTGCTGCTGTTCCGTGTTCTTTGAGCCTTATCTCTTTTTCATCCTTAGATTATCTTAATGTTCTTCCTTTTGTTGGTCCTTTCCCTTAAACTGAAACTCCGTTTCTTAAAAATGCTGTAGTTAGCAATCCTTTGGACTTCCAGCAGACACGATGTACTGATGTTTTGCTGAAGTCTTTTTTTTTTGTTTCATGGATCTTTTTGGTATATATTGGGAAGTCATGTGTTTATGCTTAAAGCAGTATTTCTCTTCGTGTTCTGTGATGCGTACACTGCAGCATGATGCTGTGCTCAGTGTCTGCGTGTTCCTTTGGAGAAATCCACAGAATTATGAAGAATAGGATGTATGAAGTATTGAAGGTCCACATTTGAAAGAAAAGATGGCTTTACCAGCAGAAATTTTGATAGTGCTTCGTAGATCCTGACACTAAAAGTGTTTGCGGTGAAGTCTGTCACGGCATGGGAGGCCACCTGCACTGAATCCTTCTCAGACTAAACGTCTGTTTGGAAGGACCAGTGCTGAGTCCACAGTTGCACAGCCTATCTTGAAAGGTCTCTGTCTAAAATTGTTACTGCTGAAGTTTGCAAGCAAGTGGCTCTCTAACCCTCCTATTTCTTTAGCTTGTCCCACTAGTAAAGCTGACAGTTTGGCTGGTAACTACTCTTACTCCGTGATTGGAGAATCTTCAGGGTGAGCCTGAAGGGCTCCCTAAGTCCACCCTAAGTATCATCTGCAGAACTATTGTTTCCATGCCACACATTTTACCTCCAATGGATTTCTAGTTCTTCAGGTGATTTCTTTAAAATTGAACTTTTCATTCAGTCCTCTTAAAACCATACATTTTTTGAATACTTCTCTTTTTGCCCTGCTGACTTCCTGATGAGCTTCCAGTGACTAGTATGCTGAGTAAGCACAAAGGATTAATGTGAGTGATTGGTGTACAGGTTGCTTTTTTTTTGGTTAATGGAAACAAAATCACAACAGTTGCAATTTAAACAATTATAACATGTTTATTGTGAAGTGGAGCTTGTTTTGTAAGGGACAACTGTATTCCAAATACAGCTCTTATTTTTTTTTGTGTTGCCACAGAGTGAGTGAAAGTTGTCTGACTTACTGTTATGAGTCCTGTGAAAGTAAAAAGTCTCACACAGACTTACTGTTGTAATTACCAAAGCATCTGTTGTGGCAGCAAGCGTCAGAGTGACTGCTCTATCACTCCTGCCCTCAACCCTAGCTCTTTCTCTGCTGTATGCATTGGCAGAGGGAATGGTTCACTGGGGATTAACATCTGCTAATAGAGCACAGAGAAATGAAGCAGCCCATCCTGTATGCTTCATGCTGAGATTACTTCCTCAGATCTCACCTTTTCTGCTCTTCTTTTCTCAGAAAGTATTTTTTCCTGAAGCTGTTTATCATCAATGCAATTCACTGCAGTTTGTCTGTTCTGCTGAATTTTTCTTTCCACAGAAATGCAACGTGTTGGCAGTCTTTTCCCAACCAAGTTCTTGTTAAGTGCAGAAGGAAATGAGTTAACTTAGCTCCTGCTGTTAAGCCCTAGAAATTGTGGTTAAGTAGTCAGCCATCATAAAAAAGTTAAACATTTGGTTTAAATATAAAAGTCTTCTGATTGTTAAATCAGCATTAGAGCAGGACAAAAATTAATTTGTTTAGAATTTCTATACAGCTGGTGACAGAATTTATGTCATTTTCAACATAAAATGCTGCCAGTAGGAAAATAGCTAGTGCCAGATTTACTTAATATACGTTGTATGTTTCTGTGAGTTGTCTCCTATAATGGTTGATGAGTTAAAAAAAAATTACATCATTCTGTATTTCTGAGTAACATAAAATAAATGCCTTCCTAAAAGAAAATACATGAAGTATAAAGATGTTCAGGAGCAATGAGACCAGCTCTCAGTTTAGAATTTGAGTACAGTTTTTTGTTCGGAGAGAGAATTTGGAGGCTTAAGTAGTTAAGGTATTAGATTGTTTTAGGATGGTTGATATAGCAGCTCAATCACTTAAGTATCTAAATCTCATCAAAATATTGTCATAAAAAGATATTCCCAAGTAATTTTTTTAAATGGAACTTAATATGCCAATTGTGCCAATTTTACCTTGTAAGAACATTTCTTAAGCCTTTGGTTGGAGAGGGAGGGCTATTACCATAAATGAAAGATAGGTTAAAAATTTATTTGATCAGTTTTAATTCATTTGATCAATGATACTTAGCAGTTGAAATATGCATGAGTCCCTAGGAAGTGTGTATCTCAGAGAACGTATTTCCATTTTCCTCTACTAAAATTATAAAATTGTCAAATACAAACATTTAGGTTGTACTAGTTGCTCTTCCTGAGGTTTTTTATTTCTCAAACACAGCTTTCAGGGTATAGGTCAGTTGTGTTGTGCTACTTGAGGTTCATTGACTAACCTCCACATCTAATCTGTAAAGAGATGGATCTCCTTCAGGTCCCATGTCCTATCTGTAAGCTGCACATGGTATCTTAGTGTATCCCAGGTGCACTGCATCACTTATGTACTTGAGTTTAGACAATTGAATCTTTAAAAATGTCAGTTCTGTGAGAATATTAAGGCTCTTAGAGAAGACCAGAAGCTTGAAATAAGTCTTGTTTTTCCATTTCAGAAGGTATGGAAGCACATTTTACGAACAGTGAAGAGAATTGTCTGATAGGGATGTGCACACAGTCCGCCTCCTTGCAGTTTTATATGCACTGTAATGTTGAGGCTGTGCTGAAACTTGTTGTCTGTTGCTGCAGGGCTTTTGCTGTGATAGAAATAAATGTTTGGACATGTTCTTACTTTATTTGCAAGGAATCAAGTACTGTAATACTTTGATTATTCTTCTTCAGGGGATACTAATCCTGTCAAGTATTATGGAAAATATTTGCATAGTTGGCAAGTCTGTTTTTTTGTTGTTTTTCTATATAATTTTTCACTTTCCTCTATTTTCAAAAAAAGGTAATTTGAAAACTGCAACATGACAAGATTTTAAAATGGACAGCTTTGTTCTGGATATGCATTCTGGAATTCTCAATTTGCAGAAAAGTATTTTCAATTAATAGTGGAAAAATCAGTGAAATCTGTGGGCCACTCTAGTTTTATTTGTTGTCACTGGTTTTGTAAGTTGCTAGTATATGGGACTTTTGGGTTTTTATATGTGCAGCAAAACAAAAATATGTATTATGTTAGAGGCTTAATAATGAAGCCTTAACATCTTACGAAGAATAATGTAGGTGCAATATTACTCACATTTGTGCTCAGTCTCATCATTGTAGGTGAAAATAGCTATTTTCTCATGTCTGTGGACAAATATGAGGATAACTGTTGTCATGCTGACTTTCTGTATCTCTTAAATGACAATTGTGAATGAAATTTCATCAAAGTATAAAAGGTTAGGTAGAAAAGATTATATATATGTATTACATAAATATATCTTATGAATATATGATATAAAATGAATGTTCATTTTCTGGAGTTGTGTAAAACTGCGTAGTAAAAGTTTTACAGATTAACATGGTAAATGGCAATACATAACGAGGTTTGGGAAAGATGCAGTAGTAAAACCACAACGTTAATATGATAGGTGGTGGCATGCTTTGCCATCTGTCTTGCTTCCTGGGCTTACTTTTGTTACAGACATTTGCTGTTTTTAAATTAGGTATTGGTTGGCGTCACAGTTAGTGGCCCCAGCATTGGATTTAAGTGTATTGTAGGTTTTTTGTCAAACAAGTTTGCAGGGATTTCAAGGTAAACACAAAATGGATTTTTAGGTATTTGTAGGAAGTGTCAATAAACTATAAACAGTTAGCAAGAGAAAAGATCCGAAGATTTGACAGCTGGGAATTGAAAGCTGACTTTGTGGACTGCTCGGTTAGGAAGGATTAACATTTTAATACTAAATGACAGATAGACCTTAGAAGCAACTGTCCAGGAAAGGCTTTCTTTGATATAATAGAGAAAATTGTACAAATGGAAAAGGCAGCACAAATCTTTGCAGTGGGCTGGTTAACCATGAGATGGGGATCAGCACATCAAGGTGTGAGAGTCACCTGAAAGATTAAAGTTGAGGTGAGAAGGACAATGTCCTCTTATTTTGCCCAGCTGTATCTTGGAATAAAATGATCATTTGGGGTCTTTTTAAGAGTGGGGAAACAAAAACAATTGGGAGTATATATGTGAGGTTCAGTGAAGTGGAAGAAACAAAATTATCTAGTTATGAAGATTGTCTGAAGAAGAAATCTTATAATAGAAGAAGAAATTAGGTAATTTTAATTCTTCCAGAGGTGGTTTTAGAGAGATTATGAAATAAAGAAACAAGTAGTAAATGTAGTCAGAATCTGCTGGGACAGACTTTGCAATAAAATTCATGGGTCTTAAGTGATGCATAGAAAAAATCACATTATGAGAAAAGGAGATGGCTGCAGCAGTAGTAAAGTCATACATGTTTTCAGTAACCCAGATGTATTGGACAAGCCATCAATTCATTATTTGTTTTGCATAGAGTTGATTTGTTCAGAGTTAAATTTAGTGTGGCCCCATTGAAAGTGGGAAGTGTTTGATGGTTCACTCAGGTGAATTTACCAGGACTTCACTCTGTGTATTTGTATTTCCTCGAGGAGCATTGGGAGGGCATGCAGTGTAAGTCGTTAGACTTGTCCTTCTGGGTTGCATCTGTTTCTTACTGCTGTTTCAGTGGCTGTCTAAAACATGAAGTGGACCAGCAAACACAGCCATAAGTGCAGTCAGGGGAAGTGGGGAGGGCAGACAGTTGCCCCTAGTTTGATGTTCTCCCACTTCTGAATTTTTTGGTGTATGATTTTGAGTAACTCATTTGAAGTGGAGATAGCAGTCTCTGCATAATTTGATCAGGTAAGTCATAATAAATGTTTTTTTCTGTGTTTCTACAGGAAGACCAGTGTATTCAGTAGCCTGGGGACCTGATTCAGGAAAAATTCTCTATACTTCAGGAAAGCAGTTGATTATTAAACCTCTTCAGCCAAATGCTAAAGTTTTGCAGGTACCATTAATACATTAAGGTTGTCTCCTGCAGCCATGTTAAAACTTTTCTCAGTTATTTAGATTTTTGGCAAACATAGTGTTTGTACTAAAATCTTCCATGAGTACTGCTCATCCCCCACAACCCCTTTTTAGTTCTGGTTTGGTTGTTTGTTTTTTTTTTTTGGAATAAAGAGATTGCCCATTTCTCTTTAAAAAAAAAATAAAAATAATAATATGCTGTGGATATTCTTCAGGCATGTGATTAAGCATTTCTCTTTTCGTAAATGAAGAAAAAGTGAAAAGATACAGAAGCCTTTCCCGTTTTATTTGTTAAGAAAAGGCAGAAAGATACAGAAGCAATTGTTCGGAATGTGCTTTTAGTACAGGTTGTTATGCTTTCATTCTGCCGTGTCCAGGCTCTTTAATGTATTTTTCTGCAGAAGAGATGACGCCTGTGCATTTGTATTATTGGAAACTCTGGTCTGCATCTGAGTGTGTGAATGCTTGTAAATGATGTATGATACATATTAAAAATAGAAGTTATCAGAATTATTGCATTTATGTTTATTTTTTTCCATTTCAGTGGAAAGCCCATGATGGCCTTATTTTAAAAACTGACTGGAACTCAGTTAATGATCTTATTCTTTCTGCAGGTGAAGATTGTAAGTATAAGGTGAGTACTGTTTAACTTTTTAGGGAAACTAAATGACAAAAAATTACTGAGTATTCTGTCATTTTCTAGTTTTAATAGTACTTGGAAGTTCAAAATTAAATAAGAATTCTTTCAGTTTTCAAGAAAAAACTTGTTACCCTAAGTTAATACATCTCACTCTGTCTAATAACATAAAATCAGGTTTTTAATTTTTTTTTTAATATGGCAGAATGAAAATAGGGTAAAACGCAAGTGAAACAAACTCCAGAAGAAAAATATGCAGAAATATAGAAATGATTACTTGAAATAGTATAAGCTATGACATATACTGAAAAAAGTAATGACATACATAATTAGAGGAGATAGAGCTACTGTTTTCTATTACAGGATTATTAGTGAATCCCTTAGGAAATTTTTTTGTTAGGATGTTTTGTATCACAGTATGATAGAGATTGGAAGGGACCTCAAAAGATCACCTAGTCCAATCCCCCTGCTGGAGCAGGAACACCTAGATAAGTTTACACAGGAACGTGTCCAGGCGGGTTTTGAATGTCTCCAGAGAAGGAGACTCTACAACCTCCCTGGGCAGCCTGTTCCAGTGTTCCGTCACCCTCACTGAGAAGAAGTTTCTTCTCAAGTTTAAGTGGAACCTCTTGTGTTCCAGTTTGTAACCACTGCCCCTTGCCCTATCATTGTTTGCCACTGAGAAGAGCCTGGCTCCATCCTTGTGACACTCCCCCTTTATATATTTATATACACTAATAAAGTCACCCCTCAGTCTCCTCCAAACTATAGAGACCCAGCTCCCTCAGTCTTTCCTCATAAGGGAGATGCTCCACTCGCTTAATCATCTTAGTTGCCCTGCGCTGGACTCTCTCCAGCAGGTCCCTGTCCTTCTTGAACTGAGGGGCCCAGAACTGGACACAATATTCCAGATGAGGTCTCACCAGGGCAGAGTAGAGGGGAAGGAGGACCTCTCTCGACCTACTAACCACCCCCCTTCTAATATGACCCAGGATGCCATTGGCCTTCTTGGCCACAAGGGCACAGTGTCAGCTCATGGTCATCCTGTTGTCCACTAGGACCCCCAGGTCCCTCTCCCCTACACTGCTCTCTAACAGGTCGTTCCCCAGTCTATACTGGAACCTGGGGTTGTTCCTGCCCAGATGCAGGACTCTACACTTTCCCTTGTTATATTTCATCAAGTTATTCCCCGCCCAACTCTCCAGCCTGTCCAGGTCTCGCTGAATGGCAGCACAGCCTTCTGGCGTGTCGGCCACTCCTCCCAGCTTAGTGTCATCAGCAAACTTGCTGATAGTACACTCAATTCCCTCATCTAAATCATTGATGAATATATTAAATAATACTGGTCCCAGTACCGACCCTTGAGGCACTCCACTAGATACAGGCCTTCAACTAGACTCCGCCCCATAGACTACAACTCTCTGGCTTCTCTCCTTCAGCCAGTTCACAGTCCACCTCACTACCCAATCATCCAGACCACACTTCCTCAATTTAGCTGCGAGGATGCTGTGGGAGACTGTGTCAAATGCTTTGCTGAAGTCAAGGTAGACCACATCCACCGCTCTGCCATCATCCATCCACCGTGTTATTTCCTCATAAAAGGCTACGAGATTGGTCAAGCATGACTTCCCCTTGGTGAAGCCATGTTGACTGCCCCTCATAACCCTCTTATCCTTGATATGCCTTAAGATGGCACCAAGGATAAGGTGTTCCATCACTTTCCCAGGGATGGAGGTGAGGCTGACTGGTCTATAGTTACCCGGGTCCTCCTTCTTGCCCTTTTTGAAGACAGGAGTGACATTTGCTTTCCTCCAGTCCTCAGGCACCTCTCCCGTTTCCCAAGACTTGGTAAAGATGATGGAGAGCGGTCTAGCAATGACCTCCGCCAGTTCCCTCAGCACCCGCGGGTGCATCCCATCTGGACCCATGGATTTATGGATATCCAGATTGGTCAACCGGTCTCTAACCCATTCCTCATCGACTAAGGCAATCCACTCTGTTGACCTGACTTCATCTGAGGTCTCAGCGGTACAGGGCTCTTCAGGACTTCCTCCGGCAGAGTAGACAGAGACAAAGAAGTCATTCAGTAACTCTGCCATCTCTCTATCTTCTGTCACCAGGGCACCCGCCCCGTTCATCAGCGGGCCTACATTGCCTCTGGTGTTAGTTTTATCTGCCGTGTATTTGAAAAAGCTCTTTCTGCTGTCCTTGACCCCTCTCACCAGCTTTAATTCCAAGGAGGCCTTAGTCATCCTAGCTTCCTTCCTACATCCTCTAGCAGCAGCCTTATATTCCTCCCAAGTGGCCAGCCCCTCCTTCCATGACCTGTAAACTCTCCTCTTCTGCTTGAGCATACCCAGCAATACCCTATTTAGCCACGCAGGTCTTCTGGCCCTCTTCCTTGACTTCCTATGTGTCAGGATGGTCTGATCTTGAGCTCGGAAAAAGCAGTCCTTGAATGCCAACCAACTGTCTTGGGCCGCTTTACCTTCAAGCAGGCTTGCCCATGGGATTTCCCCTAGCAATTGCTTGAAAAGGCCGAAATTTGCCCTGCTAAAGTTCAGGGTTGCAATTCTACTTGCTATTCTACTGGTCTTACCACGCAAGATCCTGAATTCCACCATCTCGTGGTTGCTGCAACCAAGGCAGCCCTCAACCTTCACTGCTTCGACCAGACCCTCCTTGTTAGTGAGGATGAGATCCAGCAGCGCTCCTCTCCTGGTTGGCTCATCCACCATTTGCATGAGGAAGTTATCATCCATACACTGGAGGAACCTCCTGGACTGCGGCTGGGTTGCTGAGTAGTCCTTCCAGCAAACATCAGGGAAGTTAAAATCCCCTTTGACTGTGAGGCCGCTCTCAGCTGCCTGTAGAAGGCCTCATCAACTTCCTCACCCTGATCCGGTGGCCTGTAACAGACCCCCACAACAGTATCGCCCCTGCCAGCCTTCCCCTTAATTCTCAGCCACAGACTCTCAACTCGCTCGTCATCTGTCCCTGGACAGAACTCAGCACATTGTAGCTGCTCTCGCACATAAAGAGCAACCCCACCACCCCGCCTGGCTGGCCTGTCTTTCCTGAAAAGGACATAGCCCTCCATGACTATACTCCAGTCATGTGAGCTGTCCCACCACGTCTCTGTAATTGCCACCAGGTCATAATCTCCTGACTTAGCACAGGTTTCTAGCTCCTCCTGCTTATTTCCTGTGCTGCGCGCATTGGTGTACAGACATTTCAGGGAGCGAGATGAGCACACCGATTTCACCCTAGGATTACAGGAGGCCTCCCAGTCTTCATCAATTCTAGAGTGCTGCCACACTGGGGCAAGCCCAGATACAACCCCATCCCCCTTCAAATCTAGTTTAAAGCTCTCCAAATGAGCCCTGCTAATTCGTGCCCCAGCATCCTTTTGCCTCTGCGAGATAAAGCTTTCCCACATGCCATTGTCCAGACTGGTGCCCTATAAAACCAGCCGTTATCAAAGAATCCAAAGCCCTGCCTGCCGCACCAGCCTCGAAGCCAATTGTTTATGGACTGGATTTTTCCGTTCTGTCCCACATCATCAACGGAAGATGGAAGGAGTGAGGAGAAGATCACTTGAGCCCCAGAGTCTTTCACCATCTGCCCCCAAGGCCCTGTAGTCTTTCTTTATCCCCCTCAGACTGCGGTAAGCAGCTTCCCCCTCACCCGTCTGGAAGACCAGCAGCGGGTAGTAGTCTGTCGGGCGCACCAGGTTGGGGAGCACCCTGGTGATATCCCTGATCCGGGCTCCAGGCAGACTACACACTTCCCTATGATGAGGGTCAACTCTGCATATCGGGCCCTCTGTTCCTTTCAGAATGGAATCACCTACTACAATGACCCTTCTTTCTTTCTTATCAGTTTCTTTCTTGCCTGTATCCAAAATAGAAAACACTGTTTTTCTTACCTTAAGTAGGAACTTGGTAACTGTATATTGGTTTTAGCATTCTCTAAGTGTATAATGGCTGTGATAAATACATACACAATGAAGAAATTTTAAAAAATTATCGAAGTGTTAAGATCAAATGACTTCAGCCTATGAGTTGGCTTCCTGGTATTCTGTTGATTTCAGTGAGAAAACCTTGATCTGGAAATTTGCAGAGTTACAAATGTTGGGAAATGAGTGCAAATGGAATAAATGTGGTTATTTTACAGACTTACAGTAATTTGCAAGAAATAAAACCCATTAGTTCAAAATATTTTATACAAAATAACATAATATTTGCCATAGCAGAAAAGTGAAGTCTATTGCATTAAACAAACCAATATTGATTAGAAACAACATGTAATAAAAAGTGAACTATAATGCAGTTTTTGTATAAAACCCTAATAAAACGGTAAAAGTTTTTTCCAGTTCCACTAAAAGGCAATGAAATAACTTAGTGTATTTCTGCAATTTCTATGATCAAGAGGGAAAGTAATAGCTCTAGAATAATGAAAAATACACCCAAACTGTGTTCATATATATATATATATATGTTTTGGGGTTGTTTTTTTTTAAAGGTTTGGGACAGTTATGGACGTCTGTTGTACAGCTCACAGCCCCATGAGTATCCTATAACATCTGTTGCCTGGGCTGTGGATGGAGAATTATTTGCTGTGGGGTCTTTTCATACTTTGCGTCTATGCGATAAGACTGGGGTAAGTAACAACTCTGAGAAATAGCAGATGCGGAATTGTACAGATTTATTGATAATGCAGTGAATATTCCTGATTTATGTGGACAGGTGGCTATTTTTATTAGCAAAAACTAGTCATGACTTCCGGCACCTTTCTTCTATGTGTATCTGAGTAAGTATTGCCTTGATATGCTTAGCTTCACTTCTCAGTATATTTTGGTTCAGATAAAAAATTTTTATAACGTTTTGCTGTTCAGGACATTAACTTTTTCTGTGCATTTTTTAGCTTTTCTCCTTAAAACACAAAAGACTTTACAAGCAGGTCATGTAAGGCAATCATAAAATCCAGTTATTAACCATGAAAAGCAAGGAACCTATCTTTAAAATGGAGGCAGAAGAACAATGTCCTGTGCTTTTATTATTTAGATTTTGTCCTTAAAAAACACTAAGTTGACAAGCACATCTCATGAGGAGATCACCAAATGCAGTTGTTAGGCACTAGAAATGACAAGGCTAAGGCAGGAGTAGGAGAGGATCTTAGAGAACATTCATGCTACTTCTGATGTCTAGACAGGGCGCAGGTTTTCCAGCTGAAGACATATTTTAATCCTCTCATCTGTGTGTCTCTATTACTATCCCTCTTTTACTGCTAGAGAGAAGAAAGGTTCCAAAGGTATCTCCTTTATTTTCTCTTATCATCTTCTCTCTCTCTTTTTTCTCTTTTTTTTTTCAATTAAACTTATCATCATGGCTTGACTTCGTGAACGAAGATTTGGGAAGGGCTTTACCCATGCTTACTACAAGCGCGCTGATGACTAAGAAGGCCAATGTGGGATAGGGAAATCCAGCTACAGGTCTCTTTGGGTGGTATAGGTGGTGCGTGATTCTTTCTGCGTTGTCTTTTCTCCTCGAGACTAGTTCTTCGTGAACTCTCAAAGGAGTCAACAGCATTATGTATGGTGTGCCTTCAGGTCTCCCGACTGGAGGCCAAGGTGGACCACTGATGATAGTCAATTTGGCCAAGGCTAAGATATTACTTCAGGGAGTCCTTATATCTCTTCTCTGGGGCACCTCTCTTGCGGCTACTGGTGGCAAGTTCACCATAAAACACGAACTTGGGGAGGCGGTGATCCTTCATCCTAGAGACGTGCCCCGCCCAGTGCAGCTGCAGTTTCAGCAATATGGCCTCGATACTGGTGACCCCTGCCTGTTCGAGGTCAGTGACATTTGACACACAGTCAGTGCAATGGATGTTCAGAATTGTACGGAGGCAGCGCTGATGAAAGCGTTCGAGGAGTCGCAGGTGATTGATGGTAGATAACCCATGATTCAGACCCATATAAAAGAGTAGACAATACAATGGCTCTGTAGACACTGATCTATGTACTTTTCTTCAGGTGTTTATTACACCAGACTCTTTTATGGAGTTTCCCAAAGGCTCTATATGCCTTTGCTATTCTGTTGTCTATCTCTTTGTCGATCGTGGCATCCGAGGAAATGATGCTTCCCAGATAGCTGAACTGCTGAACTGTCTTAAGCTCTGACTTGCCAATGGTAATATGGGGATGGCGATAATCTTCTTGTGGTGCAGGTTGGTAGAGGACTACTGTCTTCTTCAAGCTGATTTCCAGCCCAAAAAGCTCAGCCTACTCCGCAAAGCAAGATGTTAAATGCTGCAGAGCTGCTTCTGTGTGGGCAACAAGGGCAGCATCATCAGCAAAAAGCAGTTAACGGACAAGATGGTTTAGGGTCTTAGTGTGGGCCTTCAGTCGCCTTAGATTGGATAGGCTTCCATCGGTACGATATTGAATATAAATGCCGTTTTGTTCGTCGAGGTCTGCCGTAGCCCTTTGGAGCATCATGCTGAAGAAGATTGTGAATAAAGTTGGTTTGAGAATGCAACCTTGTTTCACACCATTGGTTATTGGGAAGGGCTCAGAGAGTGCATCGCCATATCTGACTTGGCCTTGCTGGTCCTCATGTAACAGAATGATCATTTTGAGGAACTTGGGGGGACAACCTAATCGTTCCAGGATCAGCCACAGGCCTTTTCTGCTCACAGTGTCAAAAGCTTTGGTGAGGTCAACGAAAGTTACATATAGCCCAATGTTCTGTTCTCTACACTTTTCTTGCAGTTGTCTGAGAACAAATATAATGTCTGTGGTACTTCTATTAGCCCTGAAACCACACTGACTTTCAGGTAGAAGTCCTTCTGCGATAGCAGGTACTAGTCTGTTTAGTAGTATTCTTGCAAGAATTTTACCAGCAATGGAGAGCAGAGCTATACCACGGTAGCTTGAGCAGTCTGACTTGACACCTTTTTTCTTATACAGAGTGACGATGATTGCATCACGAAAGTCTGATGGTAATTTACCTTGTTCCCAACAGCGCACAAGTAGCTCATGAAATTTAGCGTGAAGTGCTTGGCCTCCATGCTTCCAGATTTCAGGTGGGACTCTGTCAACCCCAGCTGCCTTGCCAGTCTTCACCTGCTGTATGGCCTTAAGAGTCTCTCCCATGGTAGGGGCTAAATCCAATTCATTTTTCACCAGATGTTGCAGAATGTGCTGGATTCCTTCGCCTTGGACTACACGATTAGCACTAAAGAGGGTTTGAAAATGTTCAGGCCAATGATTCAGGATGGAGATTTTATCTGTAAGAAGCGTTTGGCCATCTGCACTAAGTAAGGGGCCTTGAACCTGAAATGTGGGTCCGTACACTGCCTTCAGAGCCTCAGAATCCTCTGTGGTCACCCAAATCTGTGCATAGTTGAGTCTTTTCTGCTAGGTTGAGCCACCACTTGTTCTGGATGTCTCTCAGTTTCTGTTAGAGTTTAATACATGCAAGACGAAAGGCTGCTTTTCTTACATGGCAGAGTGGCTGAGCGAGGTGTGCTTGATGAGCGGATCTTTTTTGTCAGCAATTCCTGGACCTCCTGGTTGCTATCATCAAACCAGTCTTTGTTCTTCTTGGAGGAGAACCCAATGGATTCTACAGAGGACTGCAGGATGCTATTTTTAATATGTTGCCAAAGCGCTTCAGGAGAAGAATCTATAAGTTGATTCAAGCCTAGTTTGAAGGTTAGCCTGAAAGCTGTCCCTCACTGCAGCTATTTGGATATTATTAGCATTGAGCCTCCTCCTCGGAATGCCGCCCCTCTTAGGTTTGGGCTTGAGGTGGAAATTAAGTTTGCAACACACAAGGAAGTGGTCTGTTTGACATTCTGCACTAGGCATCGCTCTGGTCTGGCAGACATCACGAATATTTCTCTGGCACACTAAAACATAATCAGTGAGGTGCCAATGTTTAGATCGAGGATGAATCCAGGTTGTCTTCCAGCTGTCTTTCTGCTGGAAGATAATGTTGGTGATGGTAAGCTGTTGCTCTGCACAGAACTCTAGTAAAAGGTGGCCATTATCATTGCAGCTGCCAACACCGTGCTTGCTTTATCTACCTTCATTGGTACTCTAAATTTGCTCAGACCACAGATTGACGTGATTGTCTCTGGGGAATTTCTTGTGGTTCTGCAGTGATTTGTGCAGCCTCGTGTTGCATAGAACCGTGCTGGTTTGGAACTTTTATTGTCCCATTTTCTATCTCTTTTCTTGTCTTTGTTACTGTTTGGCTTACATTTGGGAGAACAGTATTTGCTGTGGTGTTTTTGGACACTGCAGTCGTGGTTCTCCTTAGCATGAACTTGAACTACGTGTTTCAAGTATTTTTACGTTAGTGAAGAAGAGCCTGTAAAAATTATGTGGGAAAAGGTGTTCAGGAAAAGACCTCTGAGTCTTCATATTTCACTTCCTATACTGATTCTGATTTCACTGATCTTCACTGACAAAAGTGTAAGGTAGGCATTAAATTAGAAATGGAGGTTGCTTCTATTTTCTGTGCCTTTTCCTCTTACTTGCTTAGAAAAAATCCTAATGCTACTTCATCTGTAGAAATAAAATTTTATTATAATATTCTTGAAAACAAAAGAACTTGCATGTAATTTTATTTCAGAATGTATTAATTTTCTGATTTTTTTAAAAAGTTGGTTTATTTTAATATCTACATTTTTAATGTCTTTATGTTAAGGAGATTTTTGTTACCTGTGTCTGACAAACACACTAGGAAGTCAGAAAAGTAAAGCAGTGAATAAAATTGGAGCCTAAAACATGAACTTGTGCGAAAGGTTGGATTACTACTCACATAAGTAAAAAAGATTCTGAAATAGGTATTAAAATAATGAAGAAGATATTTTCTGTATCTTTGGTATAACACTGGAGAGAAGATTGCAGTTTCCATCCTCAAATATTTTTCATCGTTGAAATTATGCTTTTAAATAAGATATATTTTACTGTTAGATTTGTTTGCATTGGTTTTGTTCAAAATTGGATACTATCTCTCCTTGCAGAAGAAAATGGAAAAATTGTCTCTTTGTGTGCAGTCATAAATATTTTGCAGTCATGCCTCAGCTGTTAGAGGGTGAACACCGAGATGATTGTTAAATGGCTACATCACCAGTGGGGACACCTCTTCCTCTCCCTCCCATTCTTCTGGCTGGGTTAATGTTAGGCACTGATTGTGGGATTTTCTCACCCACCTTTACCAGCTTGGTGCACCTATCTGCTGATACACCTGCTGCTTTTCTTTGGGAGTGTCCTTTAGGATTTCCTCAAGGCTTTTGTTCCTAGGCAAGGTAGATTGGAAGATTTTTCTCCATTTCAGTATGACACGTAACTCCGCTTACTATGTAATTTAAAAAGTAATCTACCCTGACTGTCACCTTTCCATCTCCCGGGGTAAATGTGCTGTTGTACAAGTATTTATATATACATACCATATTTCACCTCATGAAGCCAAATAAAGTATATTTGTGTAAATTTCTATCAGGATAATTACATCTGTGTTGGAAGACATTATGTAACATACATTGGTTTAAACAATCAGACTAGCCGTTAGTATTTTCTTAAAACATCCTTTTAAACCATGCCTTCTTCTTCTACAAGCACTTTCTATCTCCTTTCCAAGTACTGG